CTCTGCATTGTGATATTATCATATTAACAATATTACTATAATCATGTAGTGAAAAGCTTTTTATTTTTAAGCGAAAACCGTGCATCAGATTGAAAAAATTGTAGTGATCAAATTTGCTTAGAAATGATCGGGAATTTCAGGAATGATTTCAATTTGGAGATTAATCAGTGGCGTACCATCAATGTCTGCCAAAATAGGTATGTGAAATTCCATACGAACGCCACTGGTGGCAACAACAAAAAATGTGGTACGCTAACTGATGCCTCTTGATACATAGTACATGTATGCCAAATTTCATCAGAATATCTGAAGTGGTATTACAGATATTAATAAAAAACTATTAATTTTTGAGAACTTCACCACCCTGTATCTCAAAAGTTAGGATGTTTAGGTCATACGTTCATATGAAACTTTCTTCTTAGAATGGGCCCAAGAATTGCGTCCCCAAATATTGACATTCAATTATGAAACACCCTGTATAGTGTTTTCCGTGTAGGAGTTGATTTATTGGTACCTAGTAATACTATAAGTACTTCAAAATATTCGGGTTATACATACATCGATAACTTGTTGCATAATTGCAAAGAGTGTCAGTTTGACAGTTGAAATAATTCGACCGCGAAGCGAGAGGTTCATTCTGTTGAACTGATAAGATTTGTAATTATGCAGGAAGTTTGAGATGTATAACCATGAAGATTTTGAAGTTCGAATGCGGTTATTTTTTGAGTAGTTCTGAGCGAACGTCAACCATATACGTATTAATAAACAATACAGATCATAACGGGTGCCAGGATGAAGCCAAAAATATGAAACAAATGAATATCCATAAGGATTTGGTGGCATGATAGGTTATTATGGATATGGAAATAATTCTAAATTCCTGATTGGTGGAGTTACTCTATGTATATCCACGTATATTCAATATTATATAAAGTAGGTTAACTCAACGTACTGATTGGTTAAAAATCATACGAATTAAATATTCGCGAAAACGCTAGGTTTCAATTCTGATTGGTCAATCAGCGTTGGTGTTCTCAACGATTAAAACTAATTTGACATAAAATATTGGTAGCTGTAGATTTCAGAATAAATCGCTTTGATTCTAATGGCTTGTTATGTTCATAACGTGAGTACCATGACCGGGACCATAACTCTCTTTTTACCACTTAGGTTTTACACATTGTAGAATTATTTTTTGTAAGGCTGATGATGGACCGTAGTGTTGAAACATCTTCCCTCAGTAACTATTGTTTACTTGATAATTCACCTTGTTGTCTAGCAAAATACCACTCTGTCCTGAATATAACAACACGTAACAAACCTTTTCAGAATAGGACTAGTAATTTTCAAAATATTTGATTCTGAATGAGAGTGTATTATTAAGGTAGAGTACCTCACTCCATTAGTTAATCAGTTTATAAACACTCGAAATATACCATTTATGCTCGTTACCAATTCGAGAAATCATGTTGTCAATAGGTTAATTATTCACAAGGAAAACCCACTGTATAATTAATTACTTTCTAGCACTTTCAGAATTGCCGGAAACGGCATACATTCCATAGTTTAAATGGTATTTTTAGAGTTTCGAAATTCATACCAAATTTAGACATACTTGAATGGATTATTCACCTCAAACAAAAATGCTAATTTCTATAACTCACTAGGTATAGTAGCCACCTTGAGAGTGCTTTGTAATAGATTCGTAATCGTTGATAAAAAAAGACGTATTTAACTGTCTTGTACATTTTCCTGGATAACGGTTAGGTGATATCGATTGATCAATAAAAGTACTTCTCTGTCGACCTCGTATTAAATAGTGATTTCACTGTTCATGAATATGATTGTTAATGACCCCTATTGATGATCGATTTGTCTATTATTGCATGATTGTAGCATAGGCAACCAAACATACACCGCGTCCATTCACTGTTCATGATGCTATAACTTACTTTTTCTACGGCTATTACACAAAATTGCTCTTGTTTTACTGTGTTCGATACATCAATGAGGTACTCTGTATGTTATCAATTTTATTTCCGTGTCTGAAATCACGATGTTTCCATCGTGTTATTATTTCAAAAAAATCTCATCGCCCACGGAATGTCAAATTTCAAGCAATGACAGCTCTGTCTAATAGATGAGCATGACTTGGGAGGAAATCATATGACTACAAGACGAAGTAATAAAAAATGTCGCTGTTATCTGTTACAGCCGTAGAAAAATTATAGTGTATAACTCGCACAGAATGCTAATTTCCCACTCGAATGAATGCAGGATTCGCCTACGACTCATGCTGCAAAATTCATTCTCGTTGGAAATCACAATCTATCCGTGCTCGTTATAGTGTATTACGTAATACGTGTTGTAAGAAGCATATTACGCACGAATGGAAAAGTTACCCACATGCGTAATTGCTTCACAACACGCATTTTTTACCTACTGCCATATAGTTCGTCGAAAAAGTTTGGACAAACAGTCTGAATTATAATTCTTGACAGTTATGTCATCCGCTGTTGACTGCGAATACGCGATCATGACTAGCGGAATAAACGAGAAATGTGCGATGTGCTTGCTGTGCGTAAAGAGCTACTTACTGAGGCTGTATCTCGTGTGTTCTTGCCTACTTTCAATAGTGGCCGTAGGTTAAACAATATACTATAACTTTATATGGATTCCATAGAAGATTTTACGTTAACGGGTTAGCCTTTTCAAGTTTCTGAACTGATTTTAATCCATGTTTTCTAACACAAGGAATTCATTTTCTATATGTTGATTATCTAGACGAATGTCAAATGTCACTAAATGTCAGTGACAAGTTGACCAGGTTATTTTCAGTAGTGAGGTTGACCAGGTTATTTTCAGTAGTGAGGATGAATGATGAATTCGCGAACCAAGTTTTCTTTTTTAGTAGAAAATAAGCGTACCCGACCTGTCGCAGTTCTTGAAAACTGTCAAAGTGTCCTGTTCATTTTGTTTTCATTGGTTCATAATATCATCAGAACAAGCCGGTTGGTTGCGGTGGGACGATGTTTTAATTTTTATAGCGAATGGCATAAGAAATGAGAAATATAGTCGACGGCAAAATTTTGTAACCAACTCGTATATTAAAAGGCGATTAATCATCTCGAACATTAACGCACTCGCTCTGCTTGCACGTTAAACTATCTCGATCATTAATCGCCCTTATCAATTCACTAGTTGGTTAATAGTTATTTAACCAACTAGTGTATTAATGAGGACGATTGATGATCGGGATATTTTAACGTGCGAGCGAAGCGAGTGCGTTAATGTTCGAGATCATTAATCGCCTTTTAATATACAAGTTGGTTACAAAATTTTTCCGTCGACTATGTTTCTCATTTCTCCTGCAATGATGAAAACTTGAATTCATCATCCATCCGGAAACTGCTATGAATCACCCAGTATAGCCTTGTTACTGACATTAGTGTCATTTGACATCTGTCGAAATGATCAACATAGGAAATAAATTCCTTCTGTTAGAAAACAAGGATTAAAATCGTGTAAGAAACTTGGGAAGGATTTAAATGCAGATTCCGCTAGTTATAGCATAAACAATGAATGCACGCGGTGTATGTTTGGTTGCCTATAAAACAATCATGCATTAATAGACAAATCGTCCATTAATAGGGGTCATTAATGAACGATTTCATATACATTAAACTTAGTCGTTAATACGAGGTCGACGGAAAATAAGTATTAATGATTCAAAAATGTTCGAGGCATCTGATGGTGTACCTTGAAATTCTCAATACCCAATCTACCGACAAAAAGTCTGAGGCTTCTAAGTGATATTCCGACCTTGGTCTCCTAGGGAAGTTTAATCAACATGAGTAATATCAATTCCTTCAATAACTTTATTTGGCAAATATATACATATGGAAACAAACCAATCACTCGGTTTGTCTGAATGATTTTGCCTCAAATGAAGACGTTTCAGTGATGAAAATAGGCAATTGTCTGATAAAATTTGAAGAATGAGTTGTGTTTGTACAAATCATTTTCATCACCCTTTCGAAATAGAAAACAATTTACTTCATCAATAACAAATTCTATAACTCAAATTAAATTTGCGGTCCTTCTTCTATGATCGATCAAATGGTGAAGTGATAAATGTCGCTATTTGCTCATGATGGCTTTGGGTGATTCTTCTGTCATTGATTTGGCCACTGGCTGAATTATATCCATGTTCCAGGGTTGTAGAGAAAATCTGGAGAATCCAGCACTTTCATGAAAATATTCTTTTACATCGTAGGACGGAAATATTTTGGTTTGACCACTTGATAGCGGGACAACCCCCTGGTATTTTGATTCCTCATTCCATTTTGCCAAACATTTTGCGAATCTTTTCTCGAGGCAAGATGATAATTACGCCGACATTTTCTGACAGTTGAGAAGATAAACAAATGTAATCTACATATTGCCATCTTATCAATTTCGTTCAAAAACACATATGAATTCCTTCGAAATTGTGTCTTGTTTCTTGCCAAAATTGAATTTCTACCACCTTTAGTGACCCAAAATTTCCAAAAAACTATATATTGAACTACTACCCATCTTCAGCATCTGGTGTAACTAAAATTCGTCATCTTTTTCATTTAACAAAATTTGGTATATATGTTATACCTATATTTTGAATTTCATTACAATTACTTCATGAAGGAAAAAAATTGAATACAGTTCGAAGAAATTTACCTTTGATTGATATAACTGGAAAGCTTTGATTTCGAAAATGTTCAAAGGCTGTTGGAATGACCGTCAGAATTCGCAACTTTTTTCCCTTTTGACCAGATTTCAAGATCTCCATGCTGTGCACTGAATTTGGATAGTTTAAAAACCTCATATTCCGAAATGTTATTCGGAGAAAACATTGTTCATTTAATTTTTGACATCTAGGAACCAAAAATCACTTCTATAGCTCAGAAAATTAACAAGGAGCTCCCAATCACATCTTCCGAGAAGTTGTGGTTCAAACTCACCTATACTGAAATCCCGATTATAGAGCAGACTGAAATCGCACTTGTTCCACAGTCCTTTCAGTTCACTAAATCACTGTCGGCACCCGATCACCGTTTCCGAATTTCCTGGAAAAATGTGACGCTCTTCAGACTTACCCACCGGTTAATCCAAGATAGTAGGTCAAACGAACGGCACCGATCGCACCTCGTGTGTAACACTTTGTCGGAGTCAAGGAACTTGGGAGACCTGCTATGACCGAAGGACGAGCAAATCACTCACAAATACTGCTTCCTCGTTTCGATTTTACTTCTTATACGCGCCTTCGCTGCCAGATGAACTACCACCACTCATCGACCACAGTCATCGTCGGATAGGTCTTCTTCGAGAGTGGGCAAGGTGGACCTTAGAAACGTCCACCAGAAATCGACAACCAACATCATTTTCATTGAACAGCAGGACTAGTCCTCCAAAATAGTAGATCAATTATGGGGTATTGATGGAAAGGCTCTATGAGGGAGTATTGAAGAAATGGAAAGTGAACACCAACTTTGTTTTCTTCTATCTCTTTTTATTGAACAACAGAGGACTTGTTTTCCAGAAGAGTAGCATCATAGAAGAGGTATTAAGGAAGAGGAGAGGGGAACACGATATGTGTACTCTGAGAGTAAGTGAGAGGTGAACCTGAATAGCTCCACAAACAACTCAACAATAGAACGAAGGTAGACTCGTTTCCCATAATAGTAGCTCCATGTGGAGGTAGTAAAGAGGAGGAAGAGAGGAACACAATCTGTTTCCCTCAAGAGTGGATGAGTGAACCTGAAAAACGTCTACAAGGAATCGACAACCAACATCCGATCCTCCAAAATAGTAGATCTATTATGGGGTAGTGATGTGAAGGAAATGCTCTATAAGGGAGTTGTGAAGAGAAGGGAAGTGAACACTGAGTTTGTCTTCTTCTATCTCTTTTTACTGAACAACAGAGGACATGTTTTCCAGAAAAGTAGCACCATATAGAAAACTAAGGAGAAGTCAATTGGATTCATGAACCTGAACTGAGGTTCATAAGAAACTCGACAAGTAAACACAAAATTCCATAAGAAATATTAAGGAAAAGGAGAGGGGAAACACGATATGTGTTTTTTGAGAGTTAGTGAGAGGTGAGCCTGAACAGGTTCACAAGTAACTCAACAAATGAACAAAGGTTCATTTGAACAGTAGACTCATTTTCCAGAATAGTAGCTCCATGAGGAGGTGGTGAAGAGAAGGAAGAGAGGGACACAATCTGCTTTCTTCGATAGTGGATAAGTGAACCTGGAAAACTTCTACACGGAAAATAGTAGCTCTATTATGGGGTAGTGAGCAAAAAGGAAGGGTATGCACGGTATGTCGTCTTTGAGACTTTGTGAGGTGAATCTGGAAAACAACTCCAAGAAATCGTCAAATTATTATCGTTTTCATTAAACAGCAGGACCAGTTCTCCAAAATAGTAGCTCTATTGTGAGGTAGTAATAAGGCAAAAAGAGAAGAAAACACATTTTGTCTTCTTTGAAAGTTAGTGAGGTGATCCTGAAGAACATCCCCAAGAAATCGTCAAACCAACATAATTCTCATTGAACAGCAAGACCAGTTCTCCGAGAGGAAAATGAAAGAGAGAACACAGTCTGTCTTCTTCAAGAGTATGTAAGGTGAACCTAAACAGGGAACTCAACAAGTAAACACACTTTCCACAAAACAACAGGACTTTTCCATAATATTAGCTCTATGAGCTATAGCTCTTTTTATTGAACATAGGACCTGTTTTCCATAATAGTAGCACCATGAGGGAAACTAAGGAGAAGAGAATTGGATTAATCAACCTAAACTGAGGTTCACAAGAAACTCAACAAGTAAACTCAAAATCCCATTAGAGGTAAGGAAAAGGAGAGGGGAAACACGATATGTGTTCTCCAAGAGTTAGTGAGGTGAGCTTAAACAGGTCTACAAGAAACTCAACAATGGAAAAAGGTTTATTTGAACAGTTGACTCGTTTTCCAGGATAGTAGCTCCATGTGGATGCAGTGAAGAGAAGGACATGATGAACACAATCTGTTTTCTTGGAGAGTGGGTGAGTTGAACCTGAAAAACGTATACAAGTAATCGACAAACCTGCTTAATTTTTATGGAACAACAGAACCAGTCCTCCAAAATAGTAGCTCTATTACGGGGTAGTGAGGAAAAAGGAAGGGGATATACAGTGTTAGTTAGTGAGGTGAACCTCAAAAACATCTCCAAGAAATCAATAAAATAACATCATTTTCATCGAACAGCAGGACCCGTTCTTCAGAATGGTAGCTCTATTATGTATGGACCAGGGGAAACACAATATATCTTCTTCGAGAGGAAAACCTAAACAGGTTCATAAAAAATTAGCTTAATGAGGGGATAGTAAAGAGAAAGAAAGTAGAAACAAAGTTCGTCTACCTATTCTCTCTCTTCATTGAACAACAGGACTTGTTTTTCAGAACACTAGCACCAAAAGGAGAAGTAAAGAGAAGGAAAATAAGGGAACCAAAGAATGCATTCTTCAAGAGTTGGAGAAATCAACCGAAACTGAGGTCAACAAGTAAGCACAGATTTCATTGAACAGTAAAAAATGTTTTCACGAATAGTAATTCCATGAGGGAGTGACAAGGATAGGGGAAACTCAAAAAGTAGACCAAGGTTTCATTGAACAAAATACTCGTTTCCCAGAATAGCAGCTTCATGTGGGTGTACAAGGGATAGGAAAAGGGGATCACAATATGTTTGCTTCGAGAGTGGGCAAGATGAACCTGGAAGACTTCTACAATAAATCGTCAAACCAACATCATTTTGAATTGAATTGGATTTTGAACAGCAGAACCAGTTTTCCGAAATAGTAACCTATTATGAAGTAGTAAGGGAAGAGAGAAAAACACAATCTTTACATTTATAGAATTGAATGCCTAAACATGTTCATAGGAATCATAGGACACTTTACAAATATACACACTTCCCATCAAACAACCGGATTTATTGGCTACAATAGTCGCTCCATGAGGGGGTACACAAAGTTGGTCTCCTCATTCTGTCTTTTTATTGAACTACAAGACTCGGTTTCCAGAATAGTATAGCAACATGAGGGAAAGTAAAGAAGGGTGACTCGGAGAAATCAACGTGAACAGAGGTTCACAACAAACTCAAATAAACACAAATTCCATTGAACTCTGTAGACATTTTTCTTCGAAATAATTATTCCATGAGGGGGTAGTGAGGAAATGGAAAGGGGAAATACAATTTATTATTTTCATATATAAATAGGTTTGCAACTCGTAACAAATCTATTCTAGTTATTCCCAAACACAAGACTGCAATCTTCACTCGCAGCTTCTCGTACATGGCACCGAAATATTATAACCTACTCCCCAGTGAATTTAGATCATATACAATTAATAATTTCAAGAAAAGGTTGAAGCTATACATAATTCAGTTAGACGCCAAAATTAACTAATACCGAACCTTAGACACTCATCAAGGATTGTCGACTAACTACTATTTACTAAGTACTACTTATTTTCTCTTCTTTTTTTAGTGCTATCATCTTGTGTACAACGGTTGAGTTTAAAAACAGCTTAGGCTGACACTCCGCCCTTTCACCAATAATTATTGTAATATCGTATATCCACTTGAATCCTTGTTTGTATGTACTTTGGTGAATAAAGACGTATTATTATTATTATTATTATTTGTTTTCTTCGATAGCTGGTGAAACGTGAAACGAATCTAAAAGAGGCCTGCAAAAAATTCATCGAGGAAATACAATTTTTCTCCAAGCAGCAGGGAAAGTGGCTCTTCTGTCACCTAACAGGCAGGAAAGTTGTACTTTCTCTGCCTAGGCAGGACAGGTTTGTTGCTATGCAACGTTCCAAGAAATTTGAATGAAATTGTTAATTGAAATTGACACTGACATTGAGTGAACACAAAATGATGGAGTTTTCAATGAAAAAATTCCCAAAATTGGTTATAACATTTGGAGAAAGAATTATATGTTTCACACGGCTATGAACAGCAGCGGCAGTCTATCTTCTACTTTCCTGCCAAGTAAAACAAATAATTATTTCATTGAACAACTGGAATTATTACATTACATATAGGGGTCATGAGCCAGAGTATGTTTTGGTAGTCCGAAAAAAAATGGAAAGTCGTTGGTGGAAAACATTAGCAACCAACTTTCTCAATTATTGTCAAAAACTGATTCACTTTCTTTCAACGAGCCTCATTTGTTTATTCAACAACCGACTCCGATGCGCTTTTTTTCTACATGACCAAAGAATATTCCTTGTGGGTTTCAGAAACAATGGGGCATATCCGCTGACAATGACCATCAGCAGGATAATTTGCCACAAACAGACGCGACCTACATTGAAAAATGTACCTACTTAGTAGTCGAATTGAATGTGGGAGACGCAGTGGTGTGTTATTTCGAATCTGGGGAAGTTTGAACCAAAATATAAATAAAACCACGCCTCAGGCAATCGCTCAAATTGGTGGTTCGAAAGCAATAAACAAAAGTACAGTCGTCTTCAGAGAACATGTCGCACATGGACGGTGTCAGCTCTCTTGATCACCGCTGCAATAAGTGCGCTCATATCGTCCAACCGCGACATGTTCACTGAAGACGAGTGTACAATGTGGTTATACAACAATACTTGAAGTACAGGTGATCTCTTCATGTTTAGACCACTACCAACAGCTTATACTATATTATACGAGGTGGAAAAAATTTCAAATATGAGAGTAGTATAATTTTATCTGTACTATCTCTTGGCTTGGCACTCCTTAAACGAACAGATGCGATTAGCAAAGTGATAAGAAATATCCAAATCAATTGTTTCGAATGAAACACCCTGTATATTTCCAACAATGGTATTAGATATATTTCTTCTTTTCACAAACATATACATCCAGCAAACACAGTCACATCACAGAGATATCGCAGCGATGTAACAGTTGTGACCTGTTGGATGTTATTTTGTCCCACTCAAGATTCATCCATACAACGTCGCTGCGGTAAGTTCTCTGCGATATAACAGCCATATATGTTTTGCAATGTAATTGCGATATGTTATTTGTGATGGAGAAGCGATGTGTTCTTGCGATAAAACAACGATGTGATTGAATCGTCTTTTCAGCGGTGCTATCCTTGGTAGCTACGAATCTCTATCAGAATGAGATCAGTTACTCGTATTTGTATCAAAAATTATGTAAATTGTGTCGGCGAGATGTGAG